CAAATAATACTTTAAAAACCTAGAATTTTCTACACGTATATTTAAAAAAGCCTAATACGGGTTTAAAAATGATTCTTTTTGAATTTTCTGATTAGTCTCGGAAATGGAAATTTTAGATTCCTCTTTTACGCTATTTATCTATTATCCATATCTTAAATATTTATCTATTATCCATATCTTAAATATTTATCTATTATCCATATCTTAAATATTTATTTTTTCTCTAATTTTCTATTTATAAACTTCTATAAACTTTTTGCTTCTATCATGATATTCTGTTATTTCTTTTTTTTCTAAATTAAACTAACTCTTCGGTATACGCTACAGAGGGCATATCTGCCCCCCGCCCTACCTCCCTCCCCAGTCCTCATCTGCCCCCTGCCCCTACCTCCCTACCCAGTCCTCATCTCTGTGAAAATTAACCAAAATGTGAAAATTAGGATAATAGATGCAATTAAATACCGATTCTAACCTTCCCGACACACTGATAGATAGACAGATAGACAGATAGACAGATAGACAAATAGACAGATAGACAAATGGACAGATAGACAGATAGACAGATAGACAGATAGACAAATAGACAGATAGACAGATAGACAGATAGACAGATAGACAGATAGACAGATAGACAGATAGACAGGTAAACATATAGACAGATAGACTGATAGACAGATAGACAGATGGACAGATAGACTGATAGACAAAAACCTAGATACATAGGCGGACAGGCAGATATACAGATAGACAGACTTCCTTCCTCCCTTGCAAATATTATAATTATATATATTATATATATAATGCATCCATTAATGAAAATTCAAATCTTGAATAATTGAATAAATGTTCCAACATTTTAATTGTATTTTACATTAAAAGCTGAGAGCGGAACATAATCACCAATGGATCAAATTACTTTACATTTCGAATAGGAAAATTCAATAGTTTATCATTCATAAAAATTAAAAACCAAAAATTCCAGGTTGTTTTTTTATAAGGCTTCAAAACAAAGGATTTTTTGAAAATTTTCGACCTTAAAATGCAACAAAGGTATTTTAAAAAGTTCGTTGAAAAAGGTCAACAAAATTCCATAGTAAAAAATATGTGGAATATTTTTATTCACCAACCACTGCCCTTTACAAGGTCCTTTGCATTTACAAATGTGGAAACGTATATGATTTATCTCTTACTTCAGTTTAACGTGTGGAAACGTATATGATTCATATCTTACTTCAGTTTAACGTGTGTAAACGTATATGATTTAAATCTTACTTCAGTTTAACGTGGGGAAACGTATATGATTTATCTCTTACGTCAGTTTAACGTGGGGAAACGTATATGATTTAAATCATACTTCAGTTTAACGTGTGGAAACATATGTGATTTAAATCTTACTTCAGTTTAACGTGGGGAAACGTATTTGATTTATCACTTACTTCAGTTTAACGTGTGGAAACGTACATGATTTAAATCTTACTTCAGTTTAACGTGTGCTTCTACATTTTAGCTTTACATTTTTAGTTATGTAAAAAAACATTTGCATACAGATTTTGAATATTCACCAGTTTTACAAAAGTGTAGATACAAACCTATGCAGAGATAAATTAATTAAAAAGAATGATGTGTGAAATCAGTTATTTGGTTTACCACGATGGGTTTAAAGGATGACTGAATTTTAATCTCAAATCAATTTTTGCTGGTGGGCTTCAAAACACGCGACTAAGTGGAATTAGAGATTTGAATGCGGTTATTTGTTTATCACACTTTGGTATACCATTGGTATACCACACAGGACTCTAGCAATTAAACTATGACAGGAAATATTAAAATTATCCTATTATAATTAATTTCCATTCATTCGTTTTTATGTTATGCATTGAATAGAATTAGATTTCAGATACAGGTTCTTAGAGAATTATTTGGATTTGAGTCTTTACCACAAACTCAAATTTATGTATCCCTATATCTTTGCAACCCAATGCTGTAGACCTTAGATATTTCAAACTATGAATTCTGGTAGATCAAATAATCTAAGCTTGAAATATCAAAGGTTTGCACCATCAAGTTGCTAAGATATAAGGATTACAAAAACTGAATTTGTGGCAAAGACTCAATTCCTTTCAACAGTAACATATACAGGCTGAGTTTTATTTGCTGTATCTCAAAAATGTTATGCAGACCTGCTATAAAGATATAATTAAAAAATATCTATGTATTTTGTACAATCGTAAAACTAACAGTATTATTTTCATTGGTGGATTTTCCAAAGAAAAATAATATTCCTCTACGAAGCTTGTTTAATCTTCTATCTATCCTCTGTATCGATTAGTCGTCCTGTCTAAGTAAGTAATTATTTATTTATGTAATATAACAAAAACATAGAAAATTAGGTGTTTCAGGAGAAAATATTTAAAAACCTTCAAAACTAAAGGTTGTGGGAATATTTTCTCCCAATTCTTAAAAAGAGGAAAAGAAAAGAAAGGAAAAGGAAAGTTACATATTTATTGTTTACATTATATTTTATATAACTGGTGGTGGATTGTTAATATTTTCGACGATGAACTCACAACTTTTAGAAACAAATATTATAGATTTGATTTTAACGTTGAAAAAATAAAATAGGTTTTAACCCTATAAAGGCCGGGGGGTCTGAAACTATGCATAGCCTGGGGAGGTAGGCATTTGGCGCCCCCCCTTAGATAATAGGTATAGGGTTGAAAAGCATATGTTCATAGCCCAATTTTTCATGGCCAGCTCAAAAAAGAAAAAAATTAGACCGATAACTTTAATAGTTTTGGTGCTAGAGAGGGTGGAGAAAATGCCTAAAAAAGGGTAAAAAATGATTTTTTAAAAACAAATATTAAAAATATAGTTTTTAGATCTGTAGCTTTAGTCACAAAATAGTTATGGGCTATTTTAGATTTTTTTTTCACAGATCGGACTTTTTTCCGCCCTGTACCCTACCCTATCAATTGAAAAAATATTTTAAACAAAAAATCCTTTAAATTACTATTCATAAGCAGTCAAACTCACAAAATGTAACGGCGAAAGTGTAAAAATAAGAGTGATAGGACAAAAAACTACAAGGGGGGCGCCAAACGCCCCCCCCGCCTGTTTAGGGTTAAAGTTTTATGTCTGTCTATCCGTCTATTGGACCGTCTGTCTGTCTATTTATCTATTTATTTATCCGTCTGTTAATCTATCTGTCTGTCAATCTATCTGTCTTTCTCTATGCCTAAATATTATAAGTCTATCCATCCGTCTGTCTATCTATCGATCTGATATCTATATATGTGTCTGTCGATCTATCTGTCTGTCTATATATGTCTGTCTATCTATCTGTCTATCTAAATATGTGTCTGTCTATCTTTCTGTCTGTCTGTCTGTCAATATTCAAGTTTTGTCTCCAGACATTTTAATCACGTAATCAGTGCCCAAAGTGTCAAAATGTAGAAACCAGAATTTAAAATTGATTTTTCTAAAATTTGTCTCAAATGTTGCCAAAAATAGCGATGTTTGTTGATAAATAAGAATTAATGACTGAACTGGGATAAGATAAGTTTTTAAATCATTAACATTTTTTGAAATAACGATGCTGAAAGAATCCTTCAGTATATTTATTGTAAACATATATATGCACTTTTTTACAGTGAGAACCAGACAAGTGTGGAATAGGAAGACGACATTGAAGCAGTACAGGATGTTGTTACAAAGCAAATATTTTTAATAAAATTTAAAAATAATTGCATTTCAAACTCAAAATGAAATGTTCCTTCCACACAGCGTAATTGCTGTGTCTCATGTTTATTAGACTATTTTAAATAATAACTTGAGCAAACTTAAATTTTCAAAAATCATCTCAACCTAATGGTGTAAACCTTTGACGATTTGATTAGCAGAAAATCAGAGATTGTCGCTAAAATTCAATATTTTTTCAGTAATTTTCTTTAACCAGTAAATCGATTATGTTCACATGAAATGAGATAATAACATCTTCTTAAAATTTTGCAAAATAGTTGCTTCTTTCGAAATCTAATGTTATTGCAACAAGTTGTTATATTTTCAGTTTCTATCAATTAAAATATGATTAAAACATAATTTCAACTTTAATATCAATTTCACAATATTATTCAAAATATTTTACAATTTCTGCATAAACATAATAAGGTTTCAAGTTTTAAACTTATTTGAAAAACATTTCATTTTAGCAAAAGTTAAACTGTTTTGAACAATAAACTTTTTGTTTAATATACATTTTTTATTTGTGTTGAACTATTTGCTTAACAATAAAAACAAAAAACATTTAAGTCCAAAATCATGTTTGTTCATACATCACTTGCAAGAGATAAAATATTATTACAAAAATGAAATATTCAGAATAAAAAACTGCTTATTTATAAACAATTCTCATTATTTACAAACCAACGCTGTACTTACAGTACTACTGATATAATTTCACACCAGTAAAAATCTGCATGGATTATATAAAAAACGAGAAAATTTCAGGTCTTCATACTTTTTTCCATTGAGTAATAAAACGAAGAGGTGAAACTTAACTATGATGTATACAACGCGGACCTCACTATTAATCAATTAATAGAGTGGTCGTATTTCTAAGGGGTGGTTTTATGGAGATATTTGAAAAATTAGAGGGGGAAGCCAAACGTTCCCCCCCCCTCAGACTATTAAGAGCTTCATGTCGTAATCGTTGTTTCATCTTTTGTGGGTAACCCTGCATACACTGACATGTTTATGATAACGAGTTGAAGAGAAGAGACAGTAAAAATGTTTTTTGACATAACTTTTTGCTTATAAATTAAAAACCTAAAATTTTGAAAATTGTCAAATATTTGCAGTCAATATCATCGAATTATCTTTAACTAAAGAAAGAAAATCTAAAAATTGGTCAATTCCGAAAAATCCCCCTTAGAAATACGATCACATCTATATACAAGTGTACAGCGTTAGATACGTAAACATACCGTGATGTGCACAACCGACCACTCTATTAATTAAATAGGAAGGTCGGTTGTGTACATCTGAGGTAAGCTTCACCTCTTCGTTTTATTACTCTATGCTTTTTTCTATGATTAATAAGAATAAGTACAGATTATTGGGACATAAAAGTACTAAACAATACAAAATTATTTAAGTAAAAGCACACATTAAAGGAATGTACAGCGCTTGTTTATGTTTGATAAGTACATGGTTAAATTGTATTGAAAAAGCATAAAATCTAGTTGATAATGACGATACAGCTTTTCAATTATCATACAATCTACATCTCTGAAAAATATAAATATTAAGATTATAATAATTCTATGGTGAATATTTTAGTTTTTCCAGTAAAGTCGAAAGCGATCGGGAAAAGAAAAACTGGCCGAGAATCTTCTTAAAAATTCCGGAAACTGGAAAGAAAATGACCGAGAAACCAGAAAGAAAACTGGCAAAGAATCCTGATAGAATATGACCAAGAATCCGGAAAAAAATGACAGAGAAACTGGGAAAGAAATTACCAAGAATTTTAAAGCAAATTACCGAGAATCTGGAAAGAAAATGACAGAGAATCCGCAAAGAAAAATTACCTAAAATCCAGAAAGAAAATATTAATAACCAAGAAAACTGGCAAAGATTCCGGATAGAAAATGACCGATAATCCGGATAGAAAGTGATTGAGAATCCGGAAAAAAATGACCTAAAATCCGAAAAGAAAATTAACAAATAGAAAAGAAAATTAACAATCAGAAAAGAAAATGACCTGAATTCCGGATAGAAGATTAACAAGAATCCAGAAAGAAAATGATCAAAAATCCGGAAAAAATGACCGAAAATACGAAAAAAAATTACCGAAAATACGGAAAGAAAATTAACAAGAATCCGGAAAGAAAACGAACAAGAATCCAGAAAGAGCATGAACAAGACTCCGGAAAGAAATTGACCGAAAATTCGAAATAAAATGAAAGAGAAACCGGAAAGAAAAACGACAATTATTAATCTTGATAAATTGTTTTCAACGTAATTTCGTTTTATAACGAATATTTTCATAATAACTTGTAGAATTTGTTAAAGAGTTTTTTAAGATTTTACCTGAAAGATAAACCAGTTTTGTTACTTTTATTTTTAGGTTTGTAGTCCCACTAAAACAGGAGCAACGTTATTTTTTTGGATCAAAAATATCGCGTTTTTTTAAAAAGACATTTCCTTTTGAGGAAAAATATTGATCAATGTTGATTCCAAAAGTATACTTTTCGTACTGATGAGTGTAAAAAAAATTGGAGGATTTATGAGGTCTCAAAGTCTTACTTGTAATTCTTAAAAGACTGGACAATTCCTGCCTGATTAAGAGCAGCATAAAATGTATACAGTGTCCGAATTAATGAATTTAAGCCGCGTCTCAAATCCCCCAAAAATCGGTTTTCAATTGAGCGCCGGCTTAAATCTTTAAAAAAAAAAACAATACAAATTTAAATAGAACCACCAAAATTTGAGCCGTGGCTTAAATTTAAACCGCGGCTCAAATTCTTAAAATTCGGCCTCAGTACACATTTCTTTAAACATTTTATATTTTCCTATTAATTAAGGCAGTATGTTGTATGCTTGTTAAAACAAGCATAATGGAATTATTTTGCCTTGGATTATTAAAATATGATGAATATTAGCAAGTTGTTGAGGGGGAAGGGTTTTGTGAATAAATATGTATTATATGGAATTTATATCGAACGATGGAGGGGGGGGGGGAATAAGAAAGGGCTGGATAGCGGGAGAAGACAGATACGTGATGCAATAAATCCTTGTTTGCGGATAAAACAGGATTGTTTATGTAAGGCATAGGTCAATTTGATCTTATAGATAGATCCGATATTGAACTCAGTAAGGCAGCACTTTGGTTCAAACCTCAAGCCTCAAAAAAAACAAAGTACATAATGTTAAGAAAAAACAAAGTACATAATCTTAAGAAAAAACAAAGTACATAATGTTAAGAAAAAACAAAGTACATAATGTTTAAGAAAAAGCAAAGTACATAATGTTAAGAAAAAACAAAGTACATAATGTTAAGAAAGAAAAGCATGAACATCTCTTCCACTTTACCAGATGTTAGGATTGGTGGAGTAGAAATTAACAGAATTGGGGAAGATTGTGAAGAAAAGTTTTTTTTAAAGGAATTGAGTTTTTGCCTCAAATCCCAATTTTATAATACCTATATCTCAACAACCAGAGGATGCATACCTGTCATGTTTCAAACTTACATTGTTTGATCCACCAGAATACATAGTTGGAAATATCTACGGTTTACGATATTTGGATTTAAAGAAATGGGGTTTTAAAAATCCGAGTTTGTGGCAAAGACTCAAAAAAATTTGCATGTGGATAAAACAAATATGTAACTACAATTTGAATGTTCAAAATCAAACTATTATTCATGCAATTTCTGAATAAATAAATGTGCCATCCTAAGTTCTAAGATAACTTTTGATTCTGATTGAGCTACATAACCCCCCCCCCCTCTCTTCCTAATACTTTCCTAATACCTCCAAATGTATGATTTAAAAGTTATATCATACAATAACATCCGGAATTGCCATTAAAGTGTTAGTTTAAAGTATATATCTATGTAAAATTATGTACTTTAATGATAAATATATATCTATCTATTGTATTACGAGGTTGCGTAATTAAAAAAATATTCTTGAGCGAACTAGATAGTTTTTCCGGATTTAACTCATTTTTTAAGTTCTATCACAATATCAAAATTCCAGTTAAAGCCGAGTATTTTATAGTTTTGATTTTACACCAATGTATGAGAAATAAAATTGTATCCGTTTACATACAGGGTTACCCACAAGATGAGACTGTAAAGACGACCAAAAACTCTTAAAATGTGTATATCTCAAGGTTAAAATAAGTATGCGGCCTAAGATATATGATATAGTAATCTAATGGTTTATATAATGAGTTTACAGTTATATTATAAGGAAACAGACATTATAAATTCCGTACAGTCATCTCTATAGGCTGAATCTTTATGGGTAACCCTGTATTATAAATTTAAAACATTTGTGGCTCAATGCTGCAATATCCGTTAGTTTAACATGATTAGTATAAAATATAACCATGTCCCTGAGCGTGCTTGATAAGTCCACTGTCGGCTAAAACTTTATCGATTCCTACTTCTCCATCTTCCAACTTCAAAACTAGGAAAATTAAGTTTATTATTGGTGTTTTTGTGACACCTACAACAGGACCCCTGGCACCTTCGCATGAGGCCGAATTTAAAGAATTTGAGCAGCGGCTTAAATATTAGACATGGCTCAAATATGGTTGGTTTCACTTAAATTGTATTCACTGTTTCAAGATTTAAGCCAGCATCAATTGAGACGAAATGGCGGATTTAAGACGCGGCTCAAATTCATTAAATTTTGACTCTGAATAACCAGAAAAAGATACTGAAAATTGCCTTTTTTACTGAGAGCTGCTAAAGTCACGTAAACTGAGAAACTGCAGTAGTTAAAAACTATCAATTTAAACAAAAAAGGATTTGCCGTATGGTTTTTCTCGCAGAAACAGATTTAAATGGTACCGATGTGAGTCGAGCATGGGATCCATTTTTTATACAAAGGAATACTTGAAGTAATGTTGCCAGTTTTATTAATATTCATCCATAATAAAGATCATCCTGTATTGTAGAAAATCTTTTTAGAATTAATTTGAGATATATAAAACGTTTCCAGGATGTATACTTACTGAGCTTGAATGCAAAGTCGACGTTCAAAATTATGAATTTGATTGAGTACGTTTTCAGAATCGGTTTTTAAAAATTATTAAATAACGACGACGAAAAATAAAGTAAAAGTTAGACAGTAAACTAATTAGATGGTTAGGAACATATTTCTCAACAGAAATTTGTCAATAATTTAATGTTAAAATCAATTATTTCGTTTTCATCATTATATTGAATTTCTTATTTTTATGAATTTGTTCGCAGATTTCTACAAATTCTTCAAATGTGGTCTTTTTAATAAAAATTCCAGAAAATCTTTGTGAATAATGAGAGATTTTAGAAATTAATAATTGTATAAGATTACTTTTTTCGATGATAACAGTTAATTTTAATTTTCTCAACTTAATTACTAAACAAATTCAGGACTTTGAGCTAAAACTCAGTAAATATACGTCGTAGAAACGTTTTATATGTCTCAAATGAATCCTAAAAATTTTTCCACAATACTGCACATTCAGTTCAACCACCATACATTGCCGGTCACTCCCTTTAACCAAGTCCACCCAGCCTGGACTAACCAGGACGAGATACGTTTGGTGAAGAGAAAAGTCGAAAAACTTCAAAGGTTAAATTTTGATTGAAAGGGATACAGGCCAAGTATTTTACTCAAAATCCGTATATGACGTCACTGCTTGTTAGAGTAAGGTGAAGTGAGTGACAAGGTTGTTGGTGAGAGGGGGGGGGGGGATTGTCAGCTGAAACAGACCGAACGGGTAAATTAGTGAGTCTGTGCTGCCACCTATAGAGTATAGAATGACATTAAACCTGCTGTGTACTGTACAAGGCAGGGTGAGCAACTGGACCAAACCGGTTTCCAGTGGGGATCATTGTTTCCTTCTGAAATAAAAATATTTTCCTTAAGATGTTTTTTAGAATATTAGAAAAATAAATTGGACTGATCAGAATAAACAGTTGTTCATACTCTCTTAATTATTGTATCTTTTCTCTTAAACACATCATATTTAGTCTTGAATGTTTATAATGTACTAGCTTGGGAATCCAGTTTTCCCTGGTTTTCCCTTTCCGTGGTTCTACCGAGTTCTGCAATAAAAATTTGAGACAAATCGGTCAAGGGGCTCCTAATTACAATTGGATATCCAAACAGACAAACGTCCTAATAGCCCAAAAACAAAACTCAAATTATTTTTTAGGAAAGTAATTTAGTATAACTTCCATATATGATAAAAATATAACATGAAATATGTAATTTTTTTCTCTGGCATATTTTTTTGTAACTGATTTCAAAAAAATTATGAATTTTAATGAAAAGTATTAGTATTAAAGTCTAAGACTTCATTAAAGATTTACACAAATAAGTCGCCTTTAAGTTCAATTATAAGGTTCTATATGTATTAAATCTTTATAACCTGTAACGTATACAATAAAGTCGGATAAAGTGGGAGTATCTCCAATCTTATAAAGTTCTCCACTGGGCTTATGCATCCAGATAATATTCTCTAAAAGAAAAAATCAATGAAATTTTTCAAATTTTTTTTCCTAAAGGTTGGAGAATATTATGTTTACGAAGTTCTGGAAAAGGGATCGAGTCTTTGTCAAGAAATAAAATATTTTAACCTTTATATCTGAGCAACTTGGTGGTATACACCTTTGATTATTCAATAGAACAGAATTCAAAATATCAAAGATCCGCAACATTGGGTTGCAAAGTTAAGGGGATCAAAAAATCAATTAGACCCCCCCTCTAAATCCTATGTTTTATGTCCAAATATGACAAATGATACATCATTAGAAAGCTCTTGTGCTCTACTTTTAGAATCTGCAAAAGAATTTGCAAATTTGCAAAAATTGAATTTTTTATCGCAAAATCCAGTTATATAGTAAAAATGTTTGCAAAAAAAAATTTGTCCAAAAAATGAAAAATTATACATTTTTGAAAAGCCCTTGACCATGCCATTTCAAATATGCAAATATGCAATTTTTTTTCTCGCAAAACTTGTGCAATTCGTTTCCTTATGTCATAGGCTTTCCAAAAAACTAAATTTTATTAAAATCTGACAAGTGAAAGTGGGTCAAAACAAAGATTTAGTTTGTTACAGGCAAAAGCAGTCATTCAGGCAGTGTGCCTGAGGACTCAGGCAGTTAGTATTAAAGCCCGGTTTTAGGCCTAAAGGGAGGGCTTTGGGTATGTAAGAAAAGTCAGAAAATTTCAACAGCCTCAGACCAATGCTTTTTGAGTTATGCAAAAAAAAACCAGCAGGAATAGGGTTAAAATGGTTTTCACCATCAGGTTGTTATTAGGTTTTCGATCAATGAAAACTTTTGCGAAAAAATGCGAAATTTTCTTTTAATTTTTGCAAAATGTTTCGCTTTTTTTCTAGAAATTTTGTATTCATCTGTTTTTTTCGCGTATTTATTTTTACGAACAAAGTGCGAAATTTTCGGCGAAAAAAAGGTCGCGAAAAATACGAAAGTTTCGATATACAATTTCCTCATTCCGCTGCTAAAAACTATTTTTTTGAAAGCAACAGATCTTTAAAAAGAATTTTTGTTTATTTGATTTTTCTGCATGATGCAAACTTTCACTGCAGGCAATAAGCTTGATTTTAAAACTGACATCAATAATGGAAAAAAACTTTTTTTTGGGGCAATTTTTTTTACATTTTTACCTTTATATTGAGCGGTGGATTGATCAAGAATACGATTTGCATATGCAGAAATTATCCTTAATATTACATTATCATTAAAAAAAATTATGATTCATAATGTTTTGCAAATATTTTAAAACTTAATTCTTCAAAATGACGTTTGGATTTTTAGAACTATGATCTTAACAAAAAAAATTTGTTAGAAAAATACAACCAAAAAATAGTGTATGAAATTACCTTTCAAATGGATTTCTCACGACCAAGAGTTTAAAAATTGCGTTGTCGACACTTGCCGCAAAAATTGACGATTCGCTCAAACCCAATCTCTTAGTAATCTAAGGAAAAATACAAATGAAAACATAATTTTGGTTTCAACTTTAAAAAAAAAATCAATAGATTTTCATACAAATAGGAATTATGTTTGGGAATAAAGGGACTATTATTTCCATTTAAAAGGGGGTATTCACTTAAAACTTAAACGCTTTCATTTGTTAACAGGCTGGGGGGGGAAGGCGTTTTGCGCCCCCCTGTAGTTTTTTTGTACTAGCACTCTCAAAAAAAATTTCTAAAACTCTTATGTGACTAAAGCTACAGATCCAAAAACTATTGATATTTGTTTAAAACAAAAAATATTTTTTTTCTCACTTTTTTACCCTTTTTTAAACATTTTTTCAACCCTCCATAGCACCAAAACGTTTAAAGTTATCAGTCTAATTATTTTTTCTATGAGCTGACCTTGAAAAATTGGGCTATGATGATGACTTTCAAACACCGCCCCCAAGCTTTACATAGATTCAGACCCCGCAGCCTTTATAGGGTTAACACCTTTGTTGAGTTCAAATTTACACAAAGAGTTCTCCCTACTCAATAAACAGTTAAAGGGTACCGTTGTAAATCTGACATCTCCCTCTTTGCATGGAGGGTCACTAAAAATTACGCCTACAGTCCCTTTAATTATGTTTATCGAATAAGGGTTTAATGCATTTTTTATTGTTTTTTTAAAACTTACTTCATACAATTTCCCGTGTTCTCGCAGTTGTTCTATGAAAAATATTCTTTAATTATTAAAATTTATTTATTTATTTATTTATTTATTTATTTATTTATTATCAAAAAATATGTTCCTGTGGTTTTTTAAAAAGTTACAATATTAGAAGTTTTAAACATTTTTTCTCTCTCAATAGCTCTTTAACAAGAGAAGAGTTATGGATGAAACATTAAATTTACTTTAGTTTGAAGGCAGAGTTTGCGAAAAATGAAAGGGGGTATAGGCTTGCGCAGAAAAATATTCGATGGTGATGCTACTAATCTTACTTCTATCTTTTGCTTATATAAGGAGAAAATTGTTAAAAACGGCTCATACCGAAGAACGTAACGTCCATACAAATTCAGAAGTTTGCAATATTTAAATTGGTTTGTTAAAAAATCAATTTAATTCCAAACAAATTGTTCAGATATTACAACCTTATAATCATCGATTTTTGTTCGACGCATTCATATATAGTTGATATTTCATAATATTTTTTTATTTTTTATGATTCAAGAGATACTTTTAATAACATTCATTCCTGTTTCGAGGATTTTTGATAATAAAGACGACATTTTCATATTTTACAGGAATGTTCGAAAATCCAGCGCCAAGTTGAAAGCGAAATATGAATTTAAAAAAAGTTGACATATAAAAATTTTTTTTTGTAAGAATTCTTAATTTCTGAAAAGTTATCACGCAGTTTGTGCAGAAATTTAAAAATTTTATCAAAAAAAAATATAAAAAAATGGCGGAAAGTTCCTTTACCTAAATACTCTACATTGTTTTCTACCCTTGCAAGGTAATCCATCCAGGAGGAAGCAGCAATCTTAATCAGACAGTTCATCAACAAATTATTGAATTTAGAAAATTCGAAACTTGCCTCAAACTCTAATACTTAAATACTTGCAACCATATGTCAACCCAAGCATTTTACTATTTCAAATATTATTTTTTTTTTAATAAATAATTTCAAAGCATGCAAAGGAATTGAGTCTTTGCAATAAACTCAATGTTCTAATCCCAATATCTTTGCAACCTCAGGGGGTAAACTTCTGGTATTTCAAACTTAGACTTTTTGATCTGATATAATTAAAAATTTGAAATATCTAAAGTCTAGAACATTGGGTTGCAAAGATATAAAGATAAGAAAATCAGATTTTCTGGCGAAGAATCCAATCCTTGGAAAAATAAAATTTAGGCAAGCAATTATTTTCCACAAATAAACGTCAAATCGGCTAAACTTTGTAGGGTTAATGGCTTTCTGGGACCTTTCTTGGCCCAAGGGAGTGAATTATCTATTATAAAATTTTTTTATATTATTGTTTAATTGTGATTTTAAAAAAAAGTGAAGTTAACGATGTGACATTTAATTAGGGAAACTTCTGTTAACTTTAAAAAAAACTACCTTATAATTAAAGCACAAAACTGTTGAAGTTTTCGGATCCTAATCAGATTAGGTTAAACTACGATACTTTTGACAAGTACTTAACATAAAAGTTAAAACTAAAATATATTAAAAGAACTAATAGAAACTATTTTACTATAGTGGTCGGCAATTGTATCAATACTTTGAAGACAATTTTTTATTGAAGTTTACCAGCTTTTTTCGTATTACAAGTTTACAATTATTTCCATTATGTGCATCCATGCACCTCAAAAGATTGTTAAAAATCTAAAGTTATCCTTATTGTATTGATACATACGCATAGAGAATAGAATATATATTAGAGTGGAATTTACTAGAAAAAAGTGTAAAACGGCCATTTTGTTGTACTGTTTCCATACTGCAGTTGTACTTCACATATTTGTGCTGTATAACCTTTTGGGCCCTGGAACATCATTTTATAGAAAATCTAAAATCAATATTAAAACTATAACTATAAATCAAATGATGTTTTTCATTCGCCTAATTCATTTTATTAAGTTTATTTAACAGCTTTAAAAAATTCGAAATTGAAATGGATAGTCTAGGGAACATACTGTATGTATGTACTCTACTGCATATAATTTGTTAACATTTACATGATTTGGACACTTTGAACTCCCTTTCAGGCTGAAAGGGACTGAAAAAATGCATAACGAGAGATTCTTTAAATTCCTCTTTAATATATATTCTATTCTCTATGTACATACGACGACTACTGAAGATAAAAAAGGGAAAGTCTGAATATGTTTAATATCCGAGTTATCTGAGTTTATTCCTGTAGAAAATTGTATTTTGAAATTTGTTGACTAAACTTTGGTACTTTACTCTCATAACTACAACTGTATTCATTATCAGTCATATCTAAAAATAAATAAAATAAAGAAAAAAAGTTTGAGACAAAATTTACTTTTACATTTTATGTTACCAGTACATTTTTGCGCTCCTGATTTAAATTCGAAAAATAAGATTTTGTGTGAATTTATGTTCCAATGTTATTGTTGAACTGAACTGAACTGAACTGAACTGAACTGAACTGAACTGAACTGAACTGAACTGAGCACCTGCCACAAATTCTAATTTTCTTATTTGCAACCTGATCTCGTATACCTTTGCTATTTAAAACAATGAATTCATGTATTAGATCATATAGAAAAAGTTTTAAATATCAGGGGTTTACATCATCAGTTTGCAAGGATATAGGGATTAGAAAAGTTGAGCTTGTTGCGAGTAATTAATTTCTGTTAGAAAAAAGTAAACGCAAAAAACGAATGTTTCAAACAGAAATAAGGAAAGCCTATTTTTTCAAAAATGTTGCTAAGGATTGGAGTCTTTACCACAAACTCTTATTTTCTAATCCTTATTTCTTGTTGTAGACCTTAGATATTTCAAACTATGAATTCTGTTAGATCAAAAAATCTAAGTTTGAAATATCAAAGGTTTACTCCATTAAGTTGCAAAGATATAGGGATTAGAAAATTTGAGTTTGTGACAAAAACGCAATTCCTTTTGTACTGTTCAAAATAAACATTTTTGCGACCTTTTCCAAAAAATAGTTTTTTACCTAATTCTTCACAAATTTCATTTATATGATTTAGACGCTGTATCATCTCTTTGCTCTAATAATTATTTAATATGTTAGAAAACCATAATTTTATTCAATAACATTATAATATTTTATTATAAACTAGCTCAAGTTCAGCCCGTAGTTTCCAAAGAATTTAAAACATTCCAATTTACAAGAAAAAAAAAATTTTATTCAGCCTATGTTGCCCCCAAGGTACCAATGGGTTCCCTAAAAAATGTCAGCCCAATGTAGTTGTTTGGCCTGCTATAGCTCACATATATATATATATATATATATATATATATATATATATATATATATATGTATATATATATTTATACCTTCTTGTTTATTAAGATTGGTTATTGCTGAACATTGCTTGTCTGTCTGTTTGTTTGTATGTGTCCAAAAGAACGTCAAAACGCGTGAACCAATCAGGACAAAATTTTTCGTGAGACCTCGCGTCACCCCAGGAATGGTTTATGGATGATCGAATTTTCAAAAATTTGCTTCTAAAATTTGCTTCTTTTAGGTTTTTGAAAATTTAAAAAATCAACGAAATTTTTAGTTTTTTTTAGTTTTTTAAGGTATTCAAATAAGATGGGCGCGAAGCGCCTTTAAAGCCTAGCGTATATATATATAAGTAAGCGAAGAGCTCTATTAAATAAATAAAACACTATTGTTCAAATAATTGAAGAAATTATGAGTTATAAAGTAAATTTTTTCATACACAATACAAAATATATATTTTCTTTTTTAAATTTTAACATTTATTCAACAAACCCTTTTTCAATGTACCCCCCCCCCCCTGCTCCATCCTAAGCTTTTGTTTAATTTGATTCTCTCACTATCCCACATTGATTAAAAAGTGACATGTTATATTTAGTATCAGAACATGTGACCTCGAAAACACTAAATATGTCATCAATATATGATAAAACCATCAAGATACGACAAACTATCTAGTTTTTCAATAAAATTAAAAAAATTGAGAATAAATTTGACACTCAGAAGATAAGATTTCCTCACCTGTTGGGGTTGTTTTGAAATTGATTGCTTTCTTCTAAACTGGTTCCACTCCTTGCAGTACACTGCCTGATTGGTTCGATACAAGAAAAAACACACAACAGTTGAAATAATTAGTAGATACTTGTATCTTTTATGTCTGTTTACCCAGTTTTTGAACTTATTAGATATACTCCTATATGAGTTTATCATTGTATTCCAGTGTGCACTGTTTAGTATACATGCATATAGTACTAAGTATATAGAGCAAACATAAAGATAACGTTAATTGCTTATCAGTATACCCCAGGATTGTACAGGGGGTTCCAGAATAAAGTTCACATGTGGCTTCTATCTTCCATTAGTTTGTTTACACTGTTCGTCTTATAATATGGAACTTAATTTAATTAAAAAATATATTTGATAAATTTGACAAAAAGATCGGTGCAGTCGTTTCTAAAATTACATCCTTTGCAATTGCGAAAACTTTGTAGCGATTACTATTTTTAGCTTTTTTGAACAAAACAGAAGTCCTTATTCACATCTTATGAAATCTGTATAGCGCGTTAATAAAATGAAATCAAATAAAATAAGCAAAAAGGACTATGTGGATGAAAAACAAAAGGACTATAGTGGATAAAAAACAAAAAGGACTATAGTAGATGAAAAACAAAAGGACCGTAGCGGATGAAAAACAAAAGGACAATGTGGATGAAAAACAAAAAGGACTATGTGGATGAAAAACAAAAAGGACTATGTGCATAAAAAACAAAAAGGACTATGTGGATGAAAAACAAAAAGGACTGTGCATGAAAAACAAAAAGGACTATAGTGGATGAAAAACAAAAAGGACTATAGTAGATGAAAAACAAAAGGACTATGTGGATGAAAAACAAAAAGAACTACGTGATGAAAAACAAAAAGGACTATAGTTGATGAAAAACCAAAAAGGACTACGTGGATGAAAAACAAAAAGGACTGTAGTGGATGAAAAACAAAAAGGACTATGTGGATGAAAAACAAAAAGAACTATGTGGATGAAAAACAAAAAGGACTATGTGCATGAAAAACAAAAAGGACTGTAGTGGATGAAAAACAAAAAGGACTATATTGGATGAAAAACAAAAAGGACTATAGTGGATGAAAAACAAAAAGAACTATAGTGGATGAAAAAGAAAAATGACTATAGTGGATAAAAAACAAAAAAGACTATAGTGGATATAAAACAAAAAGAACCATAGTAGATGAAAAACAAAAAGACTATGTGGATGAAAAAGAAAAAGGACTATAGTGGATGAAAACAAGAAGGACTGTAGTTGAAGAAAAACAAAAATGACTATGTGGATGAAAAACAAAAAGGACTATATGGATAAAAAAAAACAAAAAGGACTATAGTGGATGAAAAACAAAAAGGACTATGTGGATGAAAAACAAAAAGAACTATAGTGGATGAAAAACTAAAGAACTATAGTGGATGAAAAACAAAAGGACTATGTGGATGAAAAACAAAAAGGACTATAGTGGATGAAAAACAAAAAGGACTATATTGGATAAAAAACAAAAAGGACTATAGTGGATGAACAACAAAAAGGACTATAGTGGATGAAAAACAAAAGGACTATAGTGGATGAAAAACAAAGGACTATAGTGGATGAAAAACAAAAAGAACAAAGAAACACAATCAAAATTTACAAGTGAATTTCTGATGATGAAAACACATGATTTACATTTTTTGTTTCATATTTTAAAAGATTTTTCTGATTTTTAAGATTATCGTAAAGCGTAGTGAACTATGAATTTAAACAATGAGTTAAAATACCTTTTAAAAAAGGAAAAAATTAGTCGTGCAGAAAATTATTAAGTTTCTAGATTGAATTGATATAACTACACCTCTGTAAGAATTGATATAACTACACCTCTGTAAGAATTGATATAACTACACCTCTGTAAGAATTGATATAACTACTCCTCTGTAAGAATTGATATAACTACACTTCTGTAAGAATTGATTTAACTTCACCTCTGTAAGAATTGTGAAATTATATTAGATTTTTTTCTCTTTGAAAGTAAATTTGCACATTTTTAGTTTGTCTTAATTGTTCAAGAAGCTTTGCTAATAATTTTGTATTTTCTGAAGAGTTTAACACAAATGTAAAGGTTGCATACACCACTTAAGTAGCATACACAACGTTTTTTCCTAAATTTGATTTTTTTTGACAAAATTTAAATATATAGCCAAAAACACCTTGAAGTTAAAGCAAAGCAAAAAGTAAAAAAAGACTGAAAGATGTAAAATTCCACATTTGTAGGATAAATCATTTTTGATAAAAGTTACAAGAAAAGAGAGACGCGAAAGGGGGGGCGGTACCAGCAGGACCCCCTTCCCACACCATGAAAAGGGTTTTAAATAATGAATGTTTATTTGCTTCCCCAACCTAAGATTAATTAAAACTTAATTGTATAAATAAGAAATCTAAATGTATTTACTACCATTATGTTTATTGTTTAATTAAACTAATTAAAATATTAATTGAAATATTAAATGTTCCGGAGGTTGTTTTACTAATTATTGTTATTTTGGTTTCTTTTTAAAACAATGAAGATGCAAAGTAATATTTCATTTTATAAAATGTATTCTTTTCCTATTTTATGAAAATTCTTCTGTTTAAAGTAATATTTGCAATGTTGTAAATACAAAATAACGTATTTTCGTCGTAATCGATATCTTTAGAAAACGACGACATTTAGAGAGATTTGAACCTGTTAATAAAATGATAGTTCTCAGCTTGTCCCTAAAAATGTCCTGAAAATGGTTGGGTTTGGACCAGTGTGTCAACCTTTACTAGAAATAGAAGAAAAAGTGTCCTTGTCAAATCAACTCTTTATCATTTCTTCAGTTTACTAAGTTAAAAACTTTTAAACCTAGAACAC